CAAGTGTGCAAACGTGAGAATAATAAATAAAACAAGAAAAAATAGAAAATAATAAAACACGTAAAAAATAATAATAATATAAACAAAATGAATAAAATGTTAAAAAACAAAGACACAGATAAAGGAAAAAAATTAATGGAGTAAAAAAATTAAAAAAAAAGGTAAAAGAAATTAAAAAGGAATAAAAATAATGTGTACATATAAAGTAGTATTTACTAAAACAAATAAAAATAATAAATATATAATACTAAGTAAAACAAATAAAAAATAAAGATATACATGATATTAAGAAAAAAATAATAGAAAAAATAAAGTAAAGTAAATATATAATATATATAAATAAATAAAAACAAAAATAGAATATTAAGAATATATATATAAACGTATAAAATATAATATTAAAAAAAATATACATAATAAATGGAGAAAAATTAATACGTCTATATATATATATATATGACTTAGGGGGAATATTAAATACTTTAAAAAAATGAACATGACTCGGGAGTAGATCTAGGTTCGAAACTTGGAAACCCCGCCCCTTTTTGGTCATCGGTGCAACTCACGTTTTGGGTTATTCCAACGAAATCTCAAGAAAAATAACATGCACATGCGAAAAATGAACGAATCAATGTAAAAAAAGATGTTACTTTTTATTTCCTTTTCGAATCGTTTACAATAGCTTTGCCTTTGTATTTTTTCGTGCTTTCCTCTGTATCTTGTATGTAAATCGTGGGTTACAAATGGGGAAGATTATATGTATTTATAGTGAAAAAAACTAACTATTTTTAGAATCCTATTAACAATAGAATCATAATGCAACTAGACTCTTTGCTCGGTTGTTGCACGTTTTTTGGTGTGGTTGTTGCTTTAAAAGATATGGTGGTGGAAGAGTCCTCCTAGGAGATGAACTCTTGCTAGCTCTATCTTTTAAAAAAATTGGTGTCTACATGTTCAAATTGATAGTTGAACGGGATAGGTTATGGGTCTGTGTTTTGCGAGCTAAATATAAAATGTTGGAAGTTTGCTCCCATGTCAATAGTGAAGGCATGTTATTCTCGTATTTGGAGAATTTTGGGATTCTTTGGGAAGATATTCGTGAAGGGATTGTGTGGAGCATTGATGATGGTATGAGAGTTGATTTTTGGCGAGATAATTAGATAGAAGAGTAGGGTCCTTTAGATAAATCACTAATGTTTCGGGACAAGGCGCTCTTGCTCAATCTAGAGTTATCGATTGGGTGACTCCTATGGGAGATTGGGACTGGTCGGTATTAGAAGCGATCCTTCCACCCATGGTGTTGTCTTATATTACAGCGGTTCCACCCCCGTTTTTGAATGGTGGCCCGGATAAACCTGGTTGGAAGTAGGAATCTAATCGTAGGTTTACGATGAAAAGTTCATATCAAAGGTGTATTTCTTTGAATTCGGAGCAAGCTATGGTCCTGACAGCTCACCCGAACGACCTAGAAGTTCAGATTTTTCAGCAACCACCAAGGACGATCCTGACAGCTTATCATCAGGAGTCCATGGATGTCTGATTGTTTGTGATTTTTAATTTGTTTCATCTTCTCATTCCAAAAAATAAAATTAAAATTATAACATACAATAAAAGATATCCCGACCATTAATAATTCATATATCAAATTTCATTAATTATAATTTCATATATTTAATATTTAATTATAAATGATATATTAGATTTATTTAAGTGATTTAAGTGTTTTTTAATTTTATAATTGATCTAAGTTCGAATTTCCGTTTAAATATTTTATTTCTTTTCTTTCTATCATTAATAATATTTTAAGATAAATAAAATATGTCGAAGGTCTTCAATAGATAAGCACCTTTGGTCTAATGGTTGAGGTATTCCCTTCTCTTCTACGTGTTGTAAGTTTGAACCTGCACAAGTGCAAATCATTCTCTTTCTTTTTTCATTACAATTAGATGGTGTCGTTGTAAAAATTATTTAATTAAATAAATTAAAATTAATTAAAAAAGACCATACAAATGCTACAATCATATATTGACACGTGTATCAAATTTCTACAATGATCACACCAACATTTATGTTATCTATTAACAACAAGTAACTTAATTAACATCATTTAAATAGTTAGGTTGTCTGATTGACAACATTTTAAAATCGATGATCAAAGTAAAAAAGAACAATAGTTGAGTGATCATATCTATAATTTACCTATAATTATAATGATTCTACGCCTATCACCTTGGAGTCATTATAAAGTATCTCGATCAAAATCAAGAGAAGGAATGAAGCTGGTTCATTTTTTTTTCTTATTGAAATAGAATATTTTGACATTAACCAAAAGTAATTTGACCCTAGACTATAATTCTTCATCGGAATTTAAAAGAATGATCCACTTTTAATCACGGTAAGTAGGTATGGTAATGGATCAGGTTAGTCGAATTTTTACTTGCCCCGACTCTAACTCAATACAATGAAATTATAACCCGACTCTGACTTTAAAATTATTTAACCCAATTCGAACCGACTTCGAAAATAAAATATGCACCCGAACCTAATCGACTCTAACCCAATATATATTATTCAAATTAAAAAAAACTAAAAAATATATATTTAAGAAAACCCTTCAAATAACCCTCTGCTCCGGTGCTCCTGGATTTGTTAAAGGATTGGGTCCCTTTGTTTCTGGATTTGTAAAAGGATTGGGTCCCTTTGTTTCTGGATTTGTAAAAGGATTAGGGCAATCACCTTTTAGATCATGACTTGTAATCCCGGAGCATTTTCTTGACAGTCGAGCTTGCCTAAATATAGTGCACAAGAAAAAAAACTGAGATTTGGGTTTGAGCAAAAATAATTTTCTTGCAAGTGGCTATGCTTTTGGATGATAAATGGTTGTTTGGTCGAGCATCTGCACTTAGTACGGAGCCAAGGATCTTTAATTTCTATCTCCCTAAATTTATTTCAATATTAGAGATAAGATTTGAGGGAGAAAATGAAGAAATCTTAGAGAAAAAAGATCTGAACTAGAAAGGGAGGAATGAAGAAAAGAAACCCTAAGATAATCATATTTTGAATGACATTTTTATAAATAACTTCAACTATATAATAAAAAAATTTCAGGTGGAGTCGGGTAGGAGATTTTGACCCTAAACTGGACTCTGATTCGAACCCAAAAAACGTTCACACTTTTTTCAAATCCGCTCCAATTAAATCAGGTCTGATTTGACCCCTAACAATAAATCATGTTCCATAAATGAAATAAACTAGATAATACATAAATTTAAATTTTAAAATAAATTTAAACGTATAAATTTTATTGATTAATTTAATTTTTTTTCTTTAATTTTATTTAATCGAGCGTTAGTTTTGATGATGATTGTTGTTCGTCGGTTATCTTTTTTCTTTGTTTTTTTATTTTTTTAATAAGAATAATTATGTCTTTGTGACTTTTCTATGCCTTTATGATAGGTTTATCTCTGTTTTTATGAGACTTTTTCTCTGTCTTTGTGGCACTTTTTTGTCTGCCTTTTAGTAGCTTACGATTTTTTGTTGTTGTTGTTGTTTATCTTTTTTATCATGGTTGGATTTGACGTCGTCACGACTGATCAAGATGTCGTCACGACTGATTAAGATGTCGTTTATTTGTTATCATGCTCGTGGATAGTTTTTTCATGTCGCTCGACTCTGATTTGCGATTTGTCGGTACTCTTTTAGTGTTTCATCCCTTTTGTGGTTCGTTTTCTAATGCAGTCAGATTTATTCGTATCTTTATTTTATTCGAGTATTGATTAGGTTTTTTAATCTTTCATTTATAGTCATTGTGTGATCTAGATGACTAATTTTTATGTTTACGATTATACTCTTAAATCTTCATTATAATTCTGAATATTTTTCATTTTAATAAAACTAACATCTTTCTATAAAAAATAAAATAAAAAAATAAGCGCGTATTATGAGAAATTTGACAAACATGAACATTGGAGCACTTTTCTGAGATTGAACTTGAGGACACTTTTTGACTTTTATTTTGTTGCATAACAGCTCTTATTCGTCTTATTAAATAATCATCCTTAATCTTAGGAGCTTCACCTCCTTAATTGGCATCAACCTTTCCAAACTCTTCTAATTAATAACGTATTGTATATTTTAACCTTACAAAATAAAACGCAGGGAAAAGTGATTAGTTATAAAATATTCTGTGAATTTAATAGTAAACACTACCATTTCGTAATCTCAAACGTCCATTGCAAGACTTATAAACATAATTTTTTAAATAAAAAAATATTTTCTACATTCATTTTATGATTCATAAATTCTATTATTTTTTTATAAAAAAAATTATATAATTTTATAGTGAGTTAATTGCATCACACATCTCAACTACGACCTTCATTCTAATTTGGTCACTAAATACTTGAACATTATAATTTTATCCCTAAATTATAATTCTCTTTCTAAATCAATTCTTAAACTTTTGAACATTCCAATTTCATCCCCGACATATGACTATCATCTTATATTTTCCCCACATTTTTGAACAGTTCAATTTCATCACAAACTATAGATATATATTAATCACATTCTATGTCAATAAAATTGTTAGGCCAAGATAGATTATTGGAAGATTCAAAAGTTTGAGGCCAATTAGAATGAGGATCATAATTTGGGGATGGAATTGGAAGATTCAAAAGTCTGAGAACCAATTTAGCATAAAGGTCATTGTTTGGGGATGATATCAAAATATTCAAAAGTATGAGGACTAATTTAGAATTAGAGGCATAGTTTGAGGATACATTTAGAATATTCGAAGTTTTGATGACCAATTTAGAAGGAAAAACGTATTTTGAGGACATGTTATAGAATTAACCCTTTCATAAATGATTGATAGAAATTTCTTCTACAAATTACATGACATTATTCAGCCATGGGATTCACACACAAACCTGGTCCGGCTGAAAAACAACAAAACGACATTAAAAAACCAGTCACACAACATACAATCAAAAGCGTTTCTTTACAACAAGAAAGATGAGTTAATCTGAACAAAAATTAGGGTGAGTTCAAAAAACACAGTTCCATGTATTGTTAATGTTCCTCCGGAATACTCTCCAGTGCCGGCCTCCAACCTCCATGGAACTCATCACCGTCATCTCCAGAAACCCTAACACCTCTCAGTTTCAAAACTCTCGTCAACTGCTCCATTGAAGGCTGCATCAAATCTTTCCCACTACTCAAAATAATCTGCTTCAACTCCTCCTGAGTCACCACGAGTCGTATTCTCACAACCCCATTCTTCGACTCACCTTGTTCGCCCGATCCATCGTCGTTTAACTTGAACCTCACCATCTTCTTCTTCTTCATCATCTTCTTCATGTTAACACCATCAGATTCAGATCGCTCATCGGCAGCCTCTTCCATGTTGGAAACTGTAGTATTCTCCATCTCTTTCACGGCTTCATTAGCTTTGTCCTGGCCGTTTTGTGATACGATTTTGTTGATTGTAAAGCAATTGCCCATTTTCAGATGTGAAGCAAAGGAGAAGAACAAATCAGGTAGCAAAAAGATGAAGAAAAAGCGAGAGAGGAAGGTTATTGGGGTGGAAGATAAATATATAGGGGAGAAAGCAGGTGAGGGACAGGCAGGAGAGCACATGATAATGCGGTTTTTAAGCATGGGCGTTTGAAAGTGTTGCAGAAGGTGGCAAGATTCTTTTTTGCAAAAATTCCCATATATTTTTTCACTATTTAAACTAAATGTTGTCCTATTCGAGATACAAGTAAATACAAATGTTTTATAAAAAACATATTTATAGAAGTACTTTTACAAAATGATAAAATGACTTTTATCAGTCTAAATGTTTAAGGTTAAGTTTATAATTTTTTTATTTAAAGGTTATATAATTATATAAAATATATAATTATTATAATAATAATATTTATTATTTAAAAAAATTAATATTTTTATTTGAATATGTGTCGAGTTTATTCTTAACATTAGATTTATTTACACATTTAATAGTGGTATAAATAAATATTTGATATAACTCATCATCATTGTTATTATTTGTTAGGATAGGGTCTTTGTTATAATATTTTGAGAATACGTCTTAATCATTTGATGTCTTTAGGAAGAAGTATGGATCACTCGGTATCTTCTATATTGCTATTCTATTAAGTTTGACGTTCCAACTATATTTAACATGAGAAAAATGTTGTATCATCCGGGCATTTTCCTAAAGACGTTGAATGATACAAACACTTTCCTAAAAATATTATAACAAACATCATATCTTAACAAATGATTTCTTCGTCATCCTGAATGATCTATTTTTCCAACATATTATCTAAGAAAATTTACCTAATAACTATAAAATTTAAATATAAATTATTTTCCCTAATAAAATATTTTATAAAATTAACTATTCTCAATTTTCTTATCCTTCACTTCTCTTCATTCTTGTTGAAGAGAACATATAATATACATTTCTTTCTTATGGTAATAACTCATGATTGAATTTACTGATTAAAAATAATAATTTAAGATTGTGAAAGTATAGGCATAAAAGGATATTTTCGTAAATTAAATACTCAAACATGAATTACTTTTTCTCACAAAGTTATTAGATGAAATGTGTACCATTATAAATGATGACGCAATATTTTTTTAAACATTTTAGCCATCAACTTTTTATTTTAGATAAAAAATACTATGAAAATTATTATTTAACAAATGGTTAATATTCTGATATGAGACTTTTTTACTCTAAAATAAAAACAATGAGCTAAATGCTTCAAAAAATAAAAATAAAAATAAAGACTAAAGTGATTATTTGATCAAATATCAAAGGTCTCTTTATCTTAAAATAAAATGATGGAGGCTAAAATGCTCTAAAAATGAATAAGAGCCAACATGACTATTTGATAAATATTTGGGGGGTTAATTTTGACATTATGTATCATTCGAGCATAATATTTTACCTGAGTTTTATATTTAATTATATCATATTCATTTTATATGTGGAAAAACAAATTTAAACTAAAATATAATACTATTTTGATAATCAAATTTTAATATGAGAAAATAACCTCAGTGATTGAAAATTCCTTATAATATACGATTGTGACCAATTTTTTTTTCGATTTGCCAAAATGACCAACAAAATCGCAATGCGATCTCTAAATCGCAACGCGATCTCCAGTATCGCAAATCAGTTTCCAGATTCGCAACGCGATTTTGACTATCGCATTGTGATTTTCCAAATTCGCGTTGCGATTTTAGAAAATCGTAATGCGAATATGTAAATCGAAACGCGATTCTGACTATCGCAATGCGATAATACATAATCGCAACGCGATTCTGACTGTCACAACGTTGAATTTCAAATTCGCAACAGGTTTTAGTTTCGCAACACAAATGTTTTGGGTATATAACTACGCAGCAGCATCAACTCATAACCTAAATCCCTAAATCGCAACTCATTCCATCTTCATCTATCACTCTCTCCGGTGACATCCGTTCCTATATCCAACGACATCCTTCCCCATCCGGCAACATGTTTTAGTTTCGCAGCTCGTTTGTTTAGTAAATTAATTTACAATAATGAAATCATCTAATGTTGATCATGTTTGGATAGATTTATGTTTTGGAGGGTCATGAGAGAATGTTCATGGTGTTTTACAATATATGCCTTTACCCATGAATCTTCAACTAAAACTGTCATTAAAAAAGTTAACTTATGAAACTCTAATGTTACGTGTTGCAAATAAATTGAATTTAGAGCCCTTAAGTGGATTTAGGCTATCTTATCAGAGAAAATGTAAAGTTTATTTGTTAACTGACAATGAAGATGTTGAACGATTCATTGCTTACATTAGTGTTTCGCAAGATGATGTTACATTGTATGTTGTTGAACCTAGAAGTAGTGAAGTTGGGTCAGTAGCGGGTAGTAATCAACTAAGTTTTTCAACCCTAATTTATGGTGCTCAAAATTTAATGGTTCCACCAAAATTTCATCACCAAGCAAATTTTGTTTCACCACATTTCCAATACCAAACACAATCTCAAAACCCATAACCTTTCCCTAATCCAAATCCCAATCAACTTTCAGCACCAAATTCCAGTTTTCGTATTGACCAGTTAGATGATGATGAGCCAACAGAAAAAATTATGAGTATTAGTCAGTATTCAAAATTTGATCCTTGTCAATACCCGGACTTTGATCTTGGTCAATACTCGGATTTTGATGATGTTTCAGAAGAACAAACATACCATGCGTGTAATGATTTTGATATTAGTCAATATCCAAATTTTGATGATGAAACAGCCGCTGCCGAGGAAGATGTTGTTGATGATAATGAGAAGGAAGTTATGACTGTGAATGAACATGTTGAACATCCATTCTGTAATTCATATAACCCTGAAGAAGAAAAAGAAGAATAACAAATCCCCGAAGAAAAGTCCCCGAAGAAAATGCCACGGGAGTATAACTGGAATATGCCAGAATTACTTCAGATACCAGAAGAAGAGTTGGTAACAATAGCAGTTGATTGTTACACAAAAATTATTCGTATCAAGAAATATGATTATTTTGATACAAAGTAAGACTTGAAGATAGCTTTGTATACGAAATGTGTGGAAGATGGCTATCAACTAAAAGTTAACAAATCAAGCAAAGATCGTTTCGAAACAAGGTGTATGATTGACAAAAACTGTACGTGGCATATGATTGCAAAGAGGATAAAAGACTGCGAAATGTTTCAAGTTAGGAATTTTATTGATAAACATACATGTTCAAGAACCCAAGTTTTTCCTCACCATAGACAGGCAAACAAAAAGGTGTTGGGTGGTTTTCTGGCTGAGTTAATGTTTTTGAATGGCAGAGTATATCGGGGACATGAAATTATGACTGACATGAATGCTCGGTTTAAGATTAGTATCTTATATTCTCAAGCTTGGAGAGCCAAATGTTATGCCTTGGAATTGTTGAGGGGGTCGCCAGAAGCATCGTTTGCCCAACTGCCGGCTTATTATCACAATTTAAAGCTAAAAAATCCTGGGTTGGTAACTCATATCAAAACAGATAGAGATGGACGCTTTAAGTTGCTGTTTATCGATATTGGTGCTGCGGTTAGTAAATCAATATAATTTTGTTGACTCATTTTTGTTAGTTACATGCATTTCACATTTAAATGATTATATTTCTTGTGTATATGATTTTGTAGATTCGTTCGTTTATTACTTGCATGCGTCCAGTTATTATAGTTGACAGAGCACATTTAAAAGGTTGATACCTTGGAGTAAACTTATTAGCAGTAGCCATGGATGCTAACAATGGGATACTGCCAATAGCTTACGGGGTTGGCAAATCTGAAAACTCTGATTCATGGACATGGTTTATGGGGCATCTTAGGGATTACATAGGTCCTATTAGCAATCTGACAATCATATCTGATAGGGCAAACTCAATTGACAACGATGTTAGAAGGTGTTTCCCAGATGCTTTTCATGGACTTTGTGGTGTTCATTTGTATAGAAATCTAAAATCAAGGTTTGCTGGTATAAAAAATCACAAATGGACATACTGGAAGGTTGTAAAAGCTTATCGTAAAATGGATTTTAATAAGCATATAAATTGTTTAAGACGTGTTTTGCCTCAGTGTCCTCAAACACTAGAAGATGTTGGGTTTGAAAGATGGTCAAGAGTACATCAACTTGGAGCAAGATATGGTTTCATGACGTCTAATAGTGCAGAATCAATCAACGCTCTAAGTCGTCATTCCCGGAAATTACCCATTACTATGTTAATGGAGTTTTTTCGAGCCTCTATTCAACAGTGGTACTACAAGAAAAGAAACCATGCATATATTATTTCTTTAAATTCGTAACTTATCATATATTTTACTAAGTATTATTTATTTAAATTTACAGGAACATTGGAACATCGTGTTACACCATGGACTGAAAAAAAGATAACGAAACGTGTTGTGAAGTCAACGTCATGGAGAGTTGAACCATGTTCAAACACTTTGTTTGAAGTACTGGATAATAACTTAAATGAGCTTGTCGATCTAAATGCAAAGACGTATAGTTGTATGAAATGGCAAACATCTGGTTATCCGTGTGGTCATGTTATAAAAGTTGCTTTTCATCTAAACCAAGATGATTCAAGCGCATACGCTATGGATTGCTACACTACAGAAGTATATCGACAGACTTATGCCGAGATTATCTACCCTATTCCACATCCTTCTGAGTGGGACATACCAGATGACTTACAAACAGTTTTGCCACCAGCCATGGGCAGAAGGCTACCTGGCCGACCAAAAAGTCACGATCGTATACCGTCTAAGGGTGAAGAGAAGAAGAGATCGACATGTAGTCGGTGCAAGGAAAGTGGTCATACAAGGTTGACATGTGGATCACCAGTGTCATCACAATCATCTTTTCCTCTACCAAAATATGGATCCTCATCAAAATACAAAGCTCATATGGTGTCAAGAAAAAGGCAATCAAAATCACAATCAAAATCAAAATCCCAATCACAACCGGCTTCACCTTTTGGGACT